CCCCCCCCCCCCTCTCCTTGCCATCGCCCATCTATTCTTTGCATCTAGTGTACACCAACAGTACAAAATCGGTGCCGGCTTCTACTTCATCCGGATTGCGCAACACACGGACAAGATGATAAGGGTGCTGAAGAACAGGGCGGGGGTCATCTTTGACCGAAACGCCAGGGCTCGGCGTCTGGCCGTGGGCAAGGCGGCGACAAAGCGTGACACAGCGTGCAACAGTATCAATTCGAGAACTACAGTCAGTCTTCTCTTCCGGAGGAACACGGAAGAGGAAGGGAGGGGTTGGGTGTTGTCCAGGACCTTGAGATGGATGCAGCCGGGCTACAAGCATACATAAGTAGCAGCGGTAGCAGGCTGTGCCGGTTTGATTTTCGACCTGGCGTTGGGTTTTGTGTCGACTGGAAAACGCAGCACCCCCTCCACGTGTGTGGAGGCTGAAAGTGTTTGGGGCGGGGGGAGGGGGAGGGGGAGGTAGGATTGTGGTAGAATGTAAATATTCTTGGTTGACACAATAAATACTTTGTAGGGGTTACATTGTTGACACAGTGCCAACGTAGACAGCGCGGGGCACATCGAAGGGCTCACGATGTTGTTATTATCAATATTCAAAGGAGTGCAATGAATATTTACATTGATGAGTCGATTTACAGGTGCAGGTAGATGTGCTACGCACAATAAACATGTCTTCAGCTCACATGTCTCTGTGTTGGGTACAGTCTACTGTATGTACGTGATCCGCCAATGAATTTGCGCCATCTGCCACGCGTATTTGTACGAACTACAATAACAAGGTCAGCCTGGATACGTAGGCGTTTGGTTTTCCGGCGCGTGTGTACCGGTGTGTACTGCAGTCCAGCGAGTTTTTAGAAATGGGGGCGAAATGAGTTCGTTGTGCAAATCGTGCGCGTGCTTTGGTTCTAGACTATCTATATTCCCGTGGTTTAAAAGCTGGAAAGATTCTCTGACAGACTGCTTTGGCCAACCAAGTGAATAGGACGCCGTAGGTAGGAAGCGGCCGTTTCACTCCTCATCACGCCCTGCTTCCAGAACGCGAAACGCTCGCCCACCGCATGGCGAAGTTTTAGTTGGCAACAGCATCAGACTTTGCGGCAGTGGTGTTTGTAGATCGTTGTTTTCGCCGCGCTGCCGTCCTTCTGTGGTGTCGTGTGTGTGTTTAGCTCTGTTTTTACAACTTGAAAGTACGCCTTGACATTGCTGTCACGCTTTTTAAGAGTTTCATTTTTTTTGTGAAAAGCTCGAATTGTTGTTGTTTTCACATCAAAAACCGTTCCGGTCTCCGTCGCCCATACAAGACGGGAACGTGTTTCACAATTCACTATAATTGCTTGTAAAGGCAATTGTCCTTCGATGAAGTCCGACGTGCGGCGAAGAATTCCGCTGGGCTTTCGAGCACATGCTTCGGAGGCCATGCTTGTTGGTGTAGGTCATTTGACCACAAACTCTCGCCCACTGCATGAGGAGTTCGCGAACGCACCAAACTACAAGTCAAACATTCATCGTCTCACCAGAGAGTTTACTGGCCGCAACACTCACACAGCACCGGTGAAGCAAGCTTCCGGGGAAGAGCTTGGCCCAACGATTCATGCTCCCGATATATGCACCAGCCGGCCGATCGAAGAAAGCAAGAAATTCATAGGCATCTCTTGGACTATCATTGCTACATGTGCCGCACGCCCACACGAACCCGGCTCTCCATCGCCATATGTAGCTACAGTTGCCTTCGTGGGGCAACTCCGGAGCTTTGGGTGCTGAAGGGGGCCTGACCACGAGACCCTGTGGTGGGTCTGGTTATCAGTCACAGCAGTTGTGGCGTGGGCGACCTCTGTGCAACGACCATAAACCGGTATTGTCCAACAAGCCCACCACAATCGTCGTATGCGTGTGGCCGGCCTTAATGAAGAAGCTGCTGTCCGGGAAAGCTTCCTGTCATGGCGGCTTCTCCAGAACAGTGCTTGGCAACCGATTCCCCACACTTGGAACTGTTGGTGTTGCCATTGGGAAATTGAACTCATCGCCGCTTGCGCGAAATCCAATTTTTACTGTGGTGACTGTAAGCTGCGAGCTCAGGCAGGTCCTCACCCCCCTACCTGCATACCATACGCCATCCAACCGGAGACCCAACCCCTGCAACCGCACCCGGCAGAACCTATCTCATCACCGGCCCAACTATCCCTGTGCCTTGTATGCCGTGCCTCCTCGCATTCCCCGCAAGCCCGATCGAATGACGGGGTTGCTCCCTGCAGCAACCTACGGTAGCCCCAACCAAAACTAAATAATGACGTCGGCATCCCAAAGAACTCTCGCGACTGACGCTAAAGCCATCGCTCCCTCTTCCACGCAGCCAACACAAACAAAGGGATGATTGTACACTCGAAGTACGAAGGCAACACGTTTAAATCAGAAGGGCTGATTGTACACTTCAAGACAAGTTCTGCCTCCCAACCATCCTTGATGTACTCGCTCTCCATCTCTCGCTGTGTGTGTGTTCATTTATCTCCCGCACCATTAACAACAGATCACATCGCCAATACCAACTGGCGACGCCCAACGCAACCCATGAAAATAAAACCATGACACTCTGCCGTAGCACGCTCAATAGTGAACCGACCACGCTTACGCCAAATGCAAAACAAGCTGCCCGTCGTCCACTCGATCGACATGAAAAGAGCAAACGCGTACATTCTCGATATGTTTCAGGGCGAAGAACTGGCTTCACCAAAGGAGAGGTGCGAAGCGTTCGAGCAGCAGCAGCAGTAGCAGCAGCGACGAACAACCTGGAATGCTTCCCACCTGCACTTTCGCTCTCCGCAAATCAACAAAGGGAGGCACGCAACGCACCCTACATGGGGGGTTCCACTATCACTTTTCAACAACATCAACACACGAGCCAACATAAAAAACATAAACATACAAACGACACGGCCGTATGTATACCATACGAGAGGCTCGTCACCCCCCCTACCACCTATCATCATCCACAACGCCCCTGACTCTTGTTGACAAACCCTACAGGTAATACTCCGGCTCGTACTCCTTGCCCCAATCTATCTTAGTCCACGCTCGCTCGTTCAAGAAGAAGAGTGCCTGTTTGTAACGTGGAAAAATAGAAAATGAAGGCGGTGATCGGGGGGGGGCGGGGGGGGGTTAACAACAGAGACGATGTTTTTCCTCTTTTCGTTCAGGC